GAACCAGAATCTCTGGGCACATGGGTCTAGGATCTGTGTCCTTTGTTTGCTTAGTCAGGTATAACTGATGTAGAATAAATGGCACACATATACAGTGTACAGTTTTTTTTGTTCTTTGTTTTGGAGGCAAGGTCTCACTATGTAGTGCAGGTTGGCCTCAAACTCACAGTGATCCCCCTGCCTCAGCCTCCCAAGTGCTGGGATTACAGGCATGGACCACCATGCCTGTCAAAAGGGTATAATTTAACGTATGCATATAACCATGTTATTCTATGTAACACGCCTTCCATCATATGTGAAGGCCAGGTTTTCTCTTTCACGATGTCCCCCTCCCCCAAATGTTTCCAACCCATTTTCTGGAATTATAGATTAGTTTGCATTTTCTAAAATTTAATATAAGTGGAGTCCTAGAGTCGTGCCATCCTTGGTCTGGCTTCTTTCAGTGAGCAGAACTGAGGCTTACTTGTGTTGCGTGTATCAGTTCTTGATTGCATGTACAGCTGGGTATGTTTCACTGTTCAGATAAACCACACTTTGTCCATTCTTCTGTTGCTGGACACTGAGTGTTTCCGGTCTGAGGCTATTACAGAAGAAATCACAATGAACATTTAATCGCAATGAACATTTATGTACAAGTCTTTGTGCCACCACGCCCAGTTCTTCTCATTGATCTTCAGTCACCCATGGGCTTTCTGTTTTTAGATTTGTAAAAAATGTGTGTTTGCTTTATATTTTTGTAGTCAAACTTGAGGATCAAAGCCATCTTTATACAAAAGAGAGTGGGGATTGTGCCCTCATGGTCTTTGCTCCGAAACCATTTAAATAGTTCTTGGAAACTTTCAGGAAACTTACTGTGGACACAGCTTCAAAGTAGTGTTTATGAGTACTTTCTGAAAATTTCCTACAGTTATTAGCATATACGTATTTTTCTCTTACTGAGATTATTTTCCCACCTTTCAAACCAGTGTATTCATTATAATTATTTTGTCTGTATCCATGGTTGTAACTCTCCTCCTAGGAGTTTTTTCCTGTTTGCCTTGACAGTTTAGATTGACTTTGCCTCTGACCTCAAACTTCCCAGTCAGCTAGTCTTGACTCAGAAAGAACATTACTCAGCTACTGATGGGTTATACCATTGCTGAAACAGAATCAGTGATGCATTTATAAACTGTTTAGAACATGATCTTTTCAAACAGGAAGGCAGTGGCAACAGTATCATCCCAGAAAATGCCACTGTAAAACATGGCATGTTACCTTTGAATGTATCTATTTTTTTTTAATTTTGGTTTTTTTTTTTTTTGAGGGTCTCACTCTGTAGTTTAAGCTGGTCTTGAACTCACTGTGTAGCTCAGGCTGGCCTTGAACTTGTGGCAATCCTCTTGCCTCAGCCTCCTGAGTGCTGGGATTACAGATTAGTGCCACTATGCTCAGCCCTTTAAATGTATCTAATGAGTCATGGTTCATACATTATATTGTTACATAATGGCATATACATATCATGACTGTACATACATGTGTGCTATGTATATGTATACATGTACACATCATTGTGAATATATTCTCTATCTTAGTTTTGGTTTAAAATAAATCTTGATGGCACATGCCTGTAATTGCAGCACTCAAGGGGCTGAGGCAGGAGGAACGTTGTGAGTTCGAGGCCAGCCTGGGCTACAAAGTGAGTTCAAGACCAGCCTGAACTGCATAGTGAGACCCTGTCTCAAAAAGACAAAAAAAAATCTTTTTTTCCCAGTACCTGGAATCGAACTCACTACCTTGCACTTGCCAGGCAGGCACTATGCCGCTGATCTAAACACCCCCCCCCAAATCTTGAAAGCAGGCATGGTGACACACACCTGTAGTCCCCGCACTCTCGGAAACTGAGGTAGGAAGATTGCATGTCTGAGCCCAGCATGCACAGTTTAGCAACTTTGTGAGTCCTGGCTCAAAATAAAAAATAAAAGGAGGATTAGGGATGTAGCTCAGTGCAAAGGCCCTGGGTTCAATTTCTAGTACAGGGAAAAAAAGTTCTAAGATTAATTTGGGTTTTTTTTTCTTTTTTTCCCCTAAGATTAATTTGGAGCAATATAATTGAATTCAAGAAAGGCCTTTCTTTAAAAATTCAGAATTGCAATTACCATCTATACTAGTAAACTATTATAATACATATTTTACAAGCTAGGAATATTCAGGATACCAGTATATTAAGTATATTTAATTTAATATAAGATAAATACAAAATAATGCTTTCTTTTTCTTTTTTTCTTTTTTCTTTTTTTTTTAATGCTTTAAACTTTCAAACTGGGAGTCTGAAGTTGTAGTGACAGTTACTTTTTTGATTTCTTATACTGTTTTAGATGTAAATGCGGCAATAGCTTCTTCAAATTCCAAATGAAAATCAAATGTCAGGGGAATAACCAAAGTCTTTCCTCATTCTGAAGCTTGTGCTTCTTTCCTGTTCTCTCCAAGAGTATCTTTGCGTGCATATCCATCTTGTCTGACTTTTTCTGCCATTGTCTGTCAGTAAACTCCTTCAAACTTGGAAGGGCAGCAGGGTGTCCTGCTTGAGAACATGACTGGAGTAAGATGGCCTGGGTTGGCTTCTTAGCTCTGCAACACACCGGCTGTGGGATTGTGGCTGGTGACTTCCTGTGTTGCCCATCAGTTAGAGATGAGCTGTGTGTGACTTCTGTCCTATGGCAAGGTGCTTGTTCTCCGGCTATGGCCTGTTTCTGTTTTTTATTTTTAAAATTTATTTATTTATTTTTGTCTCTTTGAAACAGGGTCTTGCTATGCAGTTCAGGCTGGCCTTGAGCTTACTTTGTAGCCCAGGTTGGTCTCAAATTGCAACAATCCTCCTGCCTCAGCCTCCTGAGTGCTGGGATTACAGGCGTGCACCACCATGCCTGGCACTGTGTCCCCCACCTTCTGTTTTTTCTACCACCTTGCTAACCACAGTGGTCTCTGCACATCTCACCGCCTGCTTGTTTCTGTCTTGATATATTTTGTCCATTATCCCTGTACTAAGTTGCTTTGGCTTCCTCCTCCTCATTCTTCAAATACTGATCCCTCAGAACGGTCTTTCATAAACAGACCATTGATCAGGTCCAGCTGTAGCTCACAGTCTTGGCCTGCATCTCCTAACTCTGAATCTCAGCGCCAGCAAAACATTGCACATCTAAGTAGGAGCTAAAGATTACAACTAAATTTGGAGATGTCTCTGAATGTAGCATTTCAGGACCAAACGTTCCCACTTATCTGTAGTGACTGATGTGTTTCACGATGATTCCCTGCACGTCCAGGAGGGAGACTCCAGAGAAACCAAGGCTGCCCACATCTTCATTGTCATCCCCAACTTCTCCAAATTCTAACCGCCAGCCTTGCCAGTGCCTGCCTCTCCCCAGTCAAGCCAGGTCTGCTTTTGTCATCCATTTTTGCTTGTTTTTCTTTAGTCAGGGTCTTCATATGCAGTCCAGTCTGGACTTGAACTCTCAGCAGTCCTCCTGCCTCTGCCTCCCAATTGCTGGGATTATAGGTGTACGCCACTGCACTTGGCTTTGTCATTCATGTTTTTTTTTTTTTTTTTTTCGTCTTTTGGAGACAGGGTCTCACTACTCAGTTCAGGCTGGCCTTGAGTAGGTCACTTTGTAGCCCATGCTGGTCTCGAACTTGCAATGATCCTCCTGCCTCAGCCTCCTGAGTGCTGGGATTACAGGGGTATGCTACCATGCCTGGTTTATCATTCATGTTTTCCTGCCTTTGGTTCTCTGGTTCCCTAATCCTTAAATATATCCCTCCCCTTTGCTTTTCTTATCCAAATCTTAAAGATTCTTCAAAGTTTAATCAAAATGTTAACTCCTAGCTAGGCATGGGGATGCTTTTCTAGGGACACTCAGGCAAGGGGATCATGAGTTTGAGCCTAGAGTGGACAGTTTAGGAATTTAGTGAGATCCTGTCTCAAAATTGAAAAATTAAAAAAAAGTGGGGTGGGAATGTAGCTTAGTGCAAAGATCCTGGGAAGCCCCAGTACTCCCCTCTTCTGCCAAAAACTGTCTCCTCCTCTTCCTCTCCACTACCTTTATGCTGTGATAGTTATTCCATTCTAAGTATTTCTATGGCAATTTTATTATTGTTATTATTATTATTATTATTATTATTATTATTATTTGTCTTTTTGAGTCAGGGTCTCACTATGCAGGCTGGCCTTGAACTCACAGCAATCCTCCTTCTCAGCCTCTCAAGTGCTGGGATGACAGTGGGTACCAGCACACCTGACTACATGTTAAATATAATAGTTATAGTCTGCCTTTTATAATAATAGTTGCTTGCTCATCTAGGTGTCAGATGCTTGGTCTTTCTTGCACAAAGTAAGAATGCTATTGTACCGTATCCTAAGGAACGAAGGAGGGCCTTAAAGGAGGAGACCAAGTAAAAGAACTAAACAGTACAGAGAGAACATCTTTGAGTTTATGTAAGGTGGTTTGTAAGGCCTTGTTTTTGTCCAAGAAGGAGTTAGGAAATATATTTCATGTCATTTAGGGAGTCTAATTGAATAGCATTTTGGTAGGATCTGAGGCTGCTGGCATGGGTCCTTGACAAAGATAGCCGTTAGATAATAAAATACTGGAATGTCTCAGATAGTTGGATAGTTTTAACCAAAAGTATAGGATAGTTTGACTAGCAAACAGGTAGACAGTAGCTTTTAGACAGTGTTCTAAGTACTGTAGGCGTAAAAATTCATTTGCTTCTCTGGGCAACCCACTGAGGTCAGTTCTATAATGCCCCTATTCTGTAGTTAGGGAAACTGAGGTACAGAGAAGTCAAGCAGCTTCTTCGAGTCGTCCGTCTGGTAAGTCTGGCTCCAGAATCTGGGCTCTTGTCTGTATTATGCTACTTTTCTACCAAACATAGAACTGGGGAAGAAACATTGGGGAAGTTGATTAGAAAAATTTCTCTTCTATGATTCTCATAGTCATGTCAAGCTTTGTGATTTATTTCTTTAGGTTCCCTTGCCAGTTCTATTTTTGACCCACTCAAATATCTGGTGGGTGCTTCAGGAGGAGTCTATGCCCTGATGGGAGGCTATTTCATGAATGTTCTAGTGGTAAGAACTGTGGGAACGGAGTCTATGAGCTCTGTTATTTTTCCAGGGCTGGGATTTATACATCCATTTATTTATACATAGGTGAGTGCTTCACCCTTACCCGCTTTGTCACAAAGTAATAGCTGTTGTTTGGTTCAGAGAATCTTCATTTATCATTATTTACTGAGCACTAATCTTCTTTCTGAGAATCATGGCTACCAGAATTTATCTTTCAGTTAATAAAAGAAAGTTAAGATCTTCAATATAGTATAACAAATCTATCTATCTGGTATGATAAAAAAATGTAGTGATTATTTAAAATTTAAAAAAATTATTGCAGTAAAAAACACATTATTGCCAGGTATAGTGGTACATGCCTGTAATCTCAGCACTTGGGAAGCTGAGGCAGGAGGACTGCTGTGAGTTCAAGGCCAGTCTGGGCTACAAAGTGAGTTCAAGGCCAACCTGAACTGCATAGCAAGACTCTGTCTCAAAAAGACACGAACAAACTCACTGAAAAATAATTTGGGGTAATTTTAATTTTTCATGTTTACATATAATGCTGTAAAATGTTCTTTTATATTTATCTTCTTGCATTTGTGCATTTTTTGGATAAATTTCTAGAAGTGATTTTACTGGATGAACCTTTTAATTTTAACATGCAAATGGCAGATTGCCTTCTGTAGTTCACACATCATTTTTTTACACTCTCATGATAGTGAAAGTGCCAATCATTTTTAAAAGCAGGCTAAAACCTTGATTAGTTCCCAATCCTTTAATCATTTGGGTATATTTAAAAATATCTTAGGAGGACAAATATCAAGCAATTATAAAACTTCCAAATGCAGAAGTCATTTAGAAAGATATTTTTCAAACTTTGGATTGCAAACCGTTAGTGGTTGTGAACTCAGTTTAAGTCTTGTGACCCAAAATTAAACAAAAAGAAAAAAAACAAAGTGTATCCCACGTAATAAAGATAAATACTGTTTGATTTATGTGTTTACTGAACTATATAAATTGCTTAACTGTAGGTCATGTACATGACAGCTTGAAGATAATTGTTTTAAAATAAACCCTCCTCTTTCAGCACTTCTACTCCCTGGGAAGAGCTAATAACATGGAAGGGAGGGGACCAGCAACTGAATAAATTCCAGTGGAGGTGTCTGACTCAGCAGTTGTTAGTGACATGCAGGGCTGCTGCAGGCTGGGCAGAGAATGTTCAAGGCTAAAGCCAAATAATGTTTCTAAATCAACATTTTAATTTCTTTTGAAATTACCTTAAAAAAAAAGTAAGCCGGGCATGATGTCACATACCTGTAATCCCAGCACTTGGGAAGCTGAGGCAGGAGGATTGCCAGGAGTTTAAGGCCAGGCGGAGTAACATAGTAAATTCAAGGCCACCCTGAACTATGTAGTGAGACCCTGTCTCAAAAAAAATGTAATACATTTTAGTTGAGTCAGTAGCAAATGAATATTAACCAAAAAAGCTTAGAAAGATTTTCTCAGCCCTTAATTTGAAAATATTTGTTTACCTATCTATTCATGTATTGACATGTTAAGTGTTGATTTTATATCACTAATATTTAATTTCCAGCTAATGAAATTATATCTGGCTTATAACGTGGAATTAAACATCATAGTTCATTTTGTTGTCCAACATACACTCACATTATACTTCCCAGATAGGTTTGAGAACTCAGCTGCTATATCCCTGCTTTTTTTTGCAACTATTTGACACTCAAATATTGTTTCAAATGAAAAAGTGGGTGAAGAGAAAGTGGTGTTGAGGTTTTATTGGCCAATAGGTCACTTACGTAATTATTATTTTTCTCTTTGGAAGAATTTTCGAGAAATGATTCCTGCCTTTGGGATTGTCAGACTCCTGGTCATCGTCCTCATAAGTAAGTGAGTCTTGCGAACACTGCTGTTTCAGTTTTCCTGCTGCAACCTTCAGAAGGCCTTTTCCTATTTCCCACACTCACACGGAGGGGCACTGTCTGCCTAGGGTCAGAAAGAGTTGTTGGCTTCACACTCTGAGGAGAAAAAGGGTAAGTACAGGACTTTTCACTTTCTGAGGGGTACCTCGCTGATACATTTTTCTTTCTGTTTCTTTCTAGAGTGGGAGGAGCCGCAAGGCCCCTTCCACTTTGACCACAGTAGCTTCACTTATGCTTTATGTATTGGACTTTCTCTTTCAGCATTTGGAATCTGTATATGATTTTTATTTAGAAAAGAAAAGCTAGCACGCATGGTGGGGTATGGCTGTAATCCCAGCACTTGGGAGGCTGAGGCAGGAGGATTGCCACAAGTGTGAGCCTAGGTTGGGCTAGATAGTGAGTTCAAGGCCAGGCTGAGTGAAACTTTGTCTCAAAACAACAACAACAACAACAACAACAAACAAACCTCTGAAAACACGGAGATAATCTATCTTCTTTCACAGTTTCTAAATTTTTAGATTAAAAAAATAAACTGATCTAGGATGTAAACATGGAGTGGTGGCTGGGAACAGAAGCCAAGAGGTAGAGATCAAGAAACCAAGATTCAGAAAACAACTCACTTGTTGATAGTGTATCATATGTTGTGAGTGGTTCTTTCTCCATAAGAAGCACGAAAGGTAAGGGACAGTTGTTGGCAGAGAAGTGGGAGGAGTACCGGGGAGCCAGGAGGGTTGCCCAGGCACAGAGCTGCCTCTTGAGATGTCAAGACTCACAGCCACTGGGAAACTGAGGCAGGGGGATGGCAAGTTCAAGGAATGTAGTTCACTGTGAGGGCAACACACTTGGCTGAGTCCTCAGTGACTCCCCCAGAGAGGAGAGAGACACAGAGAGACAGAGAGAGAGAGAGAGAGAGGGAGAGAGAGAGACAGCAGACGGGTCTTCAGTCAATCTCTTGCTTTTACGGAATTATAAATGAATTTTATAGAATAAACCTCATATCCTTAGCAAGGAAATGGATTATGCTCTTCTTATTTATTTATTTATTTATTTTTGAGACAGGGTCTTGCTATGCAGTTCAGGCTGGCCTTGAGCTCATTTTGTAGCCCAGGCTGGTCTTGAACTCACAAAGATCCTCCTGCCTCAGCCTTCTGAGTGCTAGGATTACAGGCGTGCACCACCATGCCTGGCTACAGTTTTGTTTTAGACAGTACACATTCCTATTTGTGAAGGGTGACTGGTCTTAAGAACCTTCCTTCATCAAGCATTATTTATGGGATGCATTTTCTAATTATGCAGCTGAGCTTCCCTTGGGGAAAAGTTAAGGAAATTTCACAGTTTTACTCTTTAAAATAATTCATATAAAAGCATTTCTCTTAAAATGACTGTCAAATTTTTAATGTGGATGGTGATTTAGTTTATTGGAATAAGGGCCCCTTTTTAGGTGAGATAATGTCTCAGTATGAAGACTGCAGCTACACACACACAGACACACACACAGACACACACAGACACAGACACACACAGAGACACACGCAGATAACACACACAGAGATACACACAGACACACACACACACACAGAGACACACCCAGACACACACAGACACACACAAAGACACACACAGACACATACACAGAGACACACACACACACATGTAGACACACACACAGACACACAGACACACAGACACACACACACAAGATAGCTAAGATAATTGTACTACTAATTTCTAGAGGTTTATTGAAAGGAACAGTTATTGCCTAGTTGCTTGATCAATTTTGCATGCCTATATCTGTTAATCTGAACAACTACTTTGAAGATAACAATATGCAAGATAACAACCATTGTCAATTTCCTATCATCTTGTTCTGAAATTATGTATAGTTTTTATTGTATTTTGTTTCTTATTTTTTAATTCTTTTATTAAAAAAAGAAAGACTGCAGCAACCCAGAAGCAATTGCTCCTAGAAAGCAGAAGGAACCAGGTGGAGCTGTAGGAAGGGCCAAGATAAAGAGTGAAATGGGATAGAGAGACTGAAATGCTAATTGTACTAAAGACTATTTTTTCTTTCTTTTGAGACAGGGTTTCACTATGTAGTTCATGCTGGCCTCATACTCAATGTGTAGACCAGGCTGGCCTCCAACTCACAGCGATCCTCCTGTAGAACAGTGTCTCACTGTGTTACACAGGCAGGCCTTAAATTTGTGATCCTCCTGCCTCAGCCTTCTGAGCACCTGGGATTACAGCCATGCACCATCAACCCCGACCCCTGCTCCTGTTCTTCTTCCCTTGTAGCCTATTGTAGAGTGGCCAGGGTGATCTTTATAAAGCACCGGTTAGATTTTGTCACTCCTCTGCTCAAAAGCTTTCAAAAGCTTCCTGTCGCTTGGAATAAGAGTCCAAGTTCTTCCAGTGGCCCACAAAGTCCTTCTGTAATCTATCACTGCTAGCTGTCTAATCTCATCACCTGCCACTTTATCCCTGACTCTAGTCCAGAAACACTGAAAGTCTTGTTAAAACCCAGAACATGGAGCCTCCGCCTCGGTTCCTGGCTTGCAGGTTTGGGTGGGCCTGAGAATGTCCATGTCCCCTTGTGATGCCGGCGCTGCTGGTCTTGGGGAGAGATGCATTTTTCAAAGCCCTGATCCAGCCAGGTCCCCTTCACCAGTGTCCTCCACTACCCCATCCAGGCTCCTGAGTAAGGACCTTTGTGCCTTCTCTTCCCGATGCCTGGAGCCTCTGTCGGCCTTGCTCCCTTCATGCCCCAAGCGACTTCTCAGGACCCTCCCTCTTTCTCCTATTGAAGGTTGCACTCTACCTCTGGCGTCCCCAGCGCCTTTCCCTCTCTTTGGCGTTGCTGGACATACTGTTTGACATACTGTATGCTTCGTTTGCTTCCCAGCAACGCTGCCAGCTTCACAGGCCTGGTGTCTGACCTGTCCGTTGCTGTGTATCTACCAACTAGAACAGAGCCTTCCACAGAGGTGATGATCCATACACACTTGTCAAATGAATAAATCCGTAAAATACTATAATGACAGAACCTGCTTCATTGGGTTGTGGGGATTAACGAGTTAATGCATTGCAGAACTCTTAGGACACGGAGTACAACTCAACTATGACTCCCTGTGACAATTAGAGGAGACCCCAAAACATTTGGTGCATTGTGGTAAAAATCCTGGTGCTTCATCAGGATGTTTTTCCTTCTAGTTGCGTCAGACATGGGATTCGCTCTCTACAGAAGGTTCTTTGTCCCTGAAAATGGGTCTCCGGTGAGTTTACTTTCTTGAAATAAAATTTGCTTACTTATAGAAAGGGTTCCCAAACTGGGTGTGGTACGCATGTAATCCCAGCACTTGGAAGGCAGGAGGATCATTCGAGGCCAGCCTGGGCTACAAAGTGAGCTCAAGGCCAGCTGGAACTGCATAGCGAGACCTTACCTCAAAAAGACAAACAAAAAAATAAAAAAAAAAAAGGGTTCTCAAATATGGATTATCTTTGACTTAGGGTAGTTGAATATCAGTTTGGAAATTAAGAAAATTCCTAAGCAAATCTGACTTTTGGATTGTCCTCCTCACTTGGCTCTTTCATTGCTGCACTTGCCGCATTGGCAGCCATTCCAAAATAGAGAATAGGGATTGCCTTGTCCACAGAGAATCAAAAGCAGGTGGGAATACAGCAGTGGAAATTTGGGTCCATGTGAGTTTACAACATAGAGCTGTTAAAAGGTTTTGTTCTTCTGGGATTAATGTCTGAATTTGGAGTTTGAGTATTTGTGTGTTTGCCATGACTTGTATTATACTCTGGATCCCATTTCTGTAGGATGTTCCCTCAGACCCCTGATGGTCGCTCAGCTCCTGTTCCCTTGGTTGCCTTTTTTTTTTTTTTTTTTCTTTGTCTTTTTTAAGACGGGGTCTCACTATGCAGTTCAGGCTGGCCTTGAGCTCACTTTGTAGCCTAGGCTGGTCTCGAACTTGTAACGATCCTCCTGCCTCAGCCTCCTGAGTGCTGGGATTACAGGCGTGCGCCACCACGCCCGGCCCCATCCTTGGTTGCCTTTTATAGAACCATCCTAAATGCAATGACGGTCAGAAAGAATGAGAAGCGATGAGTCTGTCTTGGGTTCTGAGAGTGGGTGAAGATGAGAGAGAGGTTTTTTTAGCTTTGCACATATTAGAACATCTCCTCTCCGTGCACAGGGAGTCTTTTTTGTCACCTTCTAGTTCTCCAGGCTTTCAAGCTCTTGTTTATGACATTTGTGTTTGAGTAAGGGAGACGCAACTGATGTATGTGATTAGCATTTTCTTCACTTATTCCCACTTTTCTTTTTTCCAAAGGTGTCATTTGCAGCTCACATTGCAGGTGGATTTGCTGGAATGTCTATAGGTTACACTGTGTTTAGCTGCTTTGATAAGGCACTGCTAAAAGATCCACGGTTTTGGATAGCAATTGCTGCTTATTTAGCTTTTGTTTTATTTGCGGTGTTTTTCAACCTTTTCCTGTCTCCGGCAAATTGACTTGCCCATTTTTAATATAAGCCAACTGATAACAAGAGCTAACTGGCAGGGAAATGGGGAACTGAAGCAACAGAAAAGTGCCAGCAAGTGGCAGCAGCTGTTGAAAGAGGACAAAACACCACTCAGCTCACATGTGGCAAGGACTGCTCACGAAAGGGCAGAAGACTTGCGGAGGTGAATTCTGAAGGCAAAGAGAAGGAAGAGGAAGAAAAAAAGCAACACAGGAGAAACCAGAGACACACCTTTCCCAGGCATATGGTAGGCATGTGTGTGTCTTGTAAGAGACTTGTTCTCCTCGGAGGACATACTTTGGAGATTATTTGATAGACTCTGTCACTGTACTATGCAGAGAATAAAGATGTTTCAAATCTGTGTCAGACTCTTGAAAATTACTTTTAAGTAGATCACTGTTGGATAGGTCACTACTGCTTAGGTGTTTTTATACATTATTGCTCATCTTTGCAGCAACCCAGGATGGTAGACACTACTTTGTGTGTTAGAGGTGAGGATGTGGAAACCTAAAAAACCAGTCAGCCCTCTGTATCGTTAGTTTGTATTCATGGACTCAATCAATCCCAGACTGAAAATATTTGAAAAAAAATTGCATCTGTACTGAACATGTAGACATTGTTTCCTTGTCACCACTCCCCAATAACGTAACAACTACTTACATAGCGTTTGCATTGTGTTAAGTATTATAAGTACTCTAGAGATGATTAAAATTATGTGGGAGGTATTCATAGGTAAAATCCAAGTAGTATACCATTTTGTATGGTCTAAGGGACTTGGATATCTGCAGGTTTGGGCGTCCTCTTGGGGTCCTGGATCCAATCTCCCACAGATACCATGGGAGAACTGTTCTTGTTTGGGGAAGAGTGGCAGAATTTAAACAGAGAGGAAGGCTTGAAAGCCCATGCTTTACCTGCCTGGTCTAAGAGTGCTATGTTTCCCAAATACTGAAAGTAGAGTATTGTAGTGGTACGCTGTACGTACACCATGAATGGTAGAACTATCTTAAAAGAAGACAGAGTTTTCTGGACTGCTAGTTTAAGGCTTTAATAGAGCATCTAAGATCCCAAGGAACCTGGGGTAGGCTTTTGGTACATGCTATATACCTGGACTCTGGATTGTTATCTGTGATAACGTTCTCAAATTCTTGGGGTTAGCTGCTCTCCAAAGAGTAGGTAGGTTTGTAAAAGGTAAAATGTCATATCTGAATGAATATGTCAAGCATCCAGAAACAGAAATGCTATGTTTTGAGAAATTTAAACTGCAGTAATATAGTATCTATTTACATTCTTACAGTACATGGGAGTTAGTTTTCTACTGCTTTGCCGAGAGAAGGTATTATAAATCCTAAAATTTTTGTATTTTGATGAAAATAGTTCACTTAAATTTATATTTTCTATGGAGGATGAGTATTTTTCAAGTTTATTAATTTAAATATATAATTATATAATACATGATAAACATGAAAAAGTTAATTTTTCCCTGATGAAATATTTGTATTTAATCTAAAAAGTAGCTATTGATTGACAAAAAGGCACAGGGAAGAAATATTTATCTACCATGGCAACTCATGAGATCACTAGCTCTGAAGAGACCACTTATAGTCTGAAGTACAATGGGATTTAATAACAGAAAATTAGACAGGGACAGAATTCCTCTATGAAACTGGACATGACCCACTGGTTATTAAGGCTGATGACTATAACATTATTATCCAGTATGAAAGGCTTTTTTGGTGCTACTAGAAACATTGGGTCATTTTATAAAAAACAGGGATGTATTATGGGCAAAAATTACAGGAAAAAAGCATACAAATATCTCCTGATGTTGGAAATTTGACATCTTTGAATAATACAGGAACCACTTATTCAGCTTCCTTTGGAGTTTTAGTCTTCTAGGCTGACCTGTGTTATTAGAAATACTGGAAACATTCCTTATGCTGTTCAATAAAGTAGACACTAGGCACTTGTAGCTCTTTAAATTTCTATTAAAATTAAACCAGTAATCGCTTCTCAGCCTTTTGGCTAAGATCAAGTGTAAAATTAAACTACCACCAAGTGGTCACAAGGAAACAATTTTAATTAAACAGGTAATTTTAAAAATTAAAATTAACATTTCACTGATACACAAGCTGGATTGCGAGTGCCCCATGGCGCATGAGCTAGTGAGCTAGTGGCTGTGTCACAGGATGGAGCAGACAGAATATTTACCCTGTTGCACAAAGTTCGTTCCATCGGACAGTGCTGTTGTACAAGCAGGAATGATCAGAAGGGGAAGTGGGTTTTATTTGCTGACTGACTCATTTGCTGCACTGCATGGCCCTGGATTTGCTCTACACATCAATGGGACAAATTCAGAGAACAAGCCGGAGATGGCCATGCTATGATTTGCTGCTCAGAGTAAACTAACTTTAAAAAGGTTCATGTTCATCTATTTTAGCTAACTAAGAGAGAATTATTTGAAAGCTTTTTATCTTTTGCATTCTGTAGTGCTTTATCTATAGATGGTAGTTACATCATTTGCTATGAAAGCTTTATTCTGTGACTAAATAATGCTGCTTTTTCCTGTAGGAAATAATATGATCTTGTTTTTTTTCCAAAAATTCTCTATTGCTTTTTGTGGTTATAAAAGTAAAGCTAATTTTAACACAGCCATATCGCTTTTTTTTTTCCCCCCGGTACTGGGAATCGAACTCATGACCTCGCGCTTGCCAGGCAGGCGCTGTGCTGCTGAGCTAAATCCCCACCCCTAGGTAAAGTTAATTTTGACAAAAAATTAAGACACATATAGTTATAAGGAATAAGTCAATTGTAATCCCACCATCTAGAGTAATCACAGTTAATATGCTGATATTCTTCTAGAATTTTTGGTATGCTGCTCTACATAGAAACAAATTTACAGTAATGGAACTACGCTATTCTATAGTTGAATTTCACTGAAATGATGTCAATTGTCTCTTTATATTAGTATATATATTTGTCATTTCTACTGGTTGCATAGTATTACCCTGTGAATGTACCATTATTTATTAAATTAGTCTTTTTTTTGTGTGGATAATTACTTAGATGTTTTTAGTTTATGGCACTGTAAATAACAACAGGAATAACATGGTGGGTTAGAATACTATTAACATAATAAAGTCAACAGAAATTTTCTGTCAGGAATACACCAAATTTTATTTTATTCTACACCAAATTTCAGAGGGTTGATGCTTTTTCAAATCTTAGTAACTGTACAAAGCTTCAAAAAACTAGACTCTAGAAGGCAAAACTATCACTATTTGACATTCCTAAATTTAAATACACTTTCAGGAGAAAACACTTTTTTTGTCATTTTGAGACAGGGTTTTGCTCTGCAGTTCAGGCTGGCCTTGAACTCACTTTGTAGGCCAGGCTGGCCTCAAACTTGCAGCAATCCTCTTGCCTCAGCCTCCAGAGTGCTGGGATTACATGTGTGCACCACCACGCCCTCCTAACAGGTGATCTCTTAATATTTACCTTGTGCAAATTTTAAGTTTGTTCAAAAAGGAAGAATAACAATTTAGTAATTAAGAGCTGACTGTAGAGCCACAGTGATGGGTTTGGATACTAGCTCTGCTGTGTGACCCTGCGTATACTAAGCAGTGCCTCAGTTTTTGCACTGTTGTAAAATCGGGTAAACAATAAATGGGGGAGATAGCTTCTTCACAGGGTTTTTGTGATAGAAATATCCTCTAACTATAGCATCTTAGTATTTTGTTTGGTTGCATAACATTTTCCTTTATATAAGTTAAACAGAACATTTATATTTTATTTTATTTCATTTCATTTTATTTTTTCTTTTTGAGACAGGATCTTGCTATGTAGTTCAGGCTGGGCTTGAGCTCACTTTGTAGCCCAGGCTGGCCTTGAACTTGCAACAATCTTTCTGCCACAGCCTCCCGAGTGCTGGGGTTACAGGCTTGTGCCACCATGGCCGGCTAACATATTTTAAATGAAAGTGGATGAAGCAGGATATAGTACCACATGCCTGTAATCTCAGCACTCTGGAAGGCTGAGGCAGGAAGATAGCAAGTTTGAGCCCAGGATGGGCAATTTAGAAATAAAAGATCAGAAAGGGCTGGAGATATAGCTTAGTGTGAAAGCGCTGGGGTGAATCTCCAGTACTTGAAAAAAAAAAAAATAAATAAAAAAAAGGAACGTACTCTTTCTCTTTCCTCTGGAAATCCTTCTTTTTTTTTTTATTTGGTACCAGGAATTGAACTGAGGACCTTGTGCTTGCCAGGCAGGCACTTGTGCTGCTGAGCTACATCCCTGCCTGACAGGTATCTTCTGAGCTAGCCTACGACGGTGGTGGAGGACCTGTGGCACATGAGCCTCAGTGGGCACGCAGAGCCCTCTCTGTTAGTATGTGAGCCAAGTTGCCACAGCCAAGGTTTGACAGATTACCAGCATATATACAGCAGCAAAGATCACATTAATTGTGCACAAGTACACCAAATGCGAACTTATCCCTTTCAGTAAAAAGCTGTATCATGGAAAGCTCTGTTATTGTGTTTTTAAGACAAAAGATGTTAACAGTTGAGTTTTTTCTAAACTAAAACCTCAAAAAAAAAAAAATCTGAAACCTATTTTGGTTTAGTTGGGGTGTTGGCACTTTACCATAAATAAGTGGGTTTTAGGTTACAGTTTGTGCACTTGGTCTCCAAAAGGTTTTCTATCATTGGTCTAGGAATATAAGCTTTATTTTTGATTTTTTTAGTCTTTATGAGACAGTGTCTCCCTATGTAGGTCAGGTTGGTCTTGAGCTCACTTTGTAGCCCAGGCTGGTCTCAAACTCACAATGATCCTCCTGCCTCAGCCTCCTGAGTACTGGGATTACAGGCATGTGCCACTATGCCCGGCTATGTAATTTACTGGTCAATAACCCAAGCAGCTAGATTATAATTTACTCCACTATTCCCTTTAAATAAAGCAAGCTACATGTTTTAAATAGGCCAAATTTGTTAAAAAGAAGTTTCTGTAACACCATCATTAGAGTAATGATCAATCTATTTCAAGTTTTACCTAGTAATATTTGGTTCTGAAAAGAGGTGAAAACTTCTAGAGTTCATTTTAACATGAAAAATTTTTATAGCAAAGCATAACATTTTATAAATATTCTTTTTTTGTTTGTTTTTTGAGACAGGGTCTTGTTCTGCAGTTCAGGCTGGCCTCGAACTTGCAACAATCCTGCCTCAGCCTCCGGAGTGCTGGGATTTCAGGTGTGCACCACCGTGCCCGGCTAAATATTCATAAATACGACTGAATGGATTTCTAAAAATGCTCAATTCAATGTGGATTAAAAACTAATTTAAATTCCTATAGCAAGAACCAGATCTATTTCCCTGGTTTCATTACTCTACTTACTGAATTATCAGATGAAGCACGTTCACTTTCCTGTGAATACTTGTGTGCACTTTATCATTGCTAGGTATGTGAGACTTTAAGTCATTGACTGGTTATAACTTTTACATACAACCTTAATAGATCTGTTTATAAAATCAAGTCAATAGTTTTAGGAATCTGAGTTCCTAGTTAAAAAAAAAAAAAAAAAAAAAAGACAAACTTTAACTAAATAACACAATTCCTGATAGGGAATCTGAAAATACTATTTAAGTAATTAATTACTTTATTTTTGGTGGTGCCAGGCATCAAAAGCAGGGCCTCTCACATGCTAGGCAAGTGCTCTACCACTGAGCCATATCCTCAGTTCAATGATTCTATTTTTTTGGGGAGGGGGGATATGAGCTTTATTGAACTTATCCATCAGAGTTGAAATAATGTCTGTACAAAACCAAATATTTCTTACTATAACTTCTGCATCACAATTAAAATCCAAACAGTTTTTAAAAGTCAATCAAAACCCACAACTTTAGAATCAATACCTTCTTTGAAGCCACAGTAACATTTAAATATGGTAAAGACTTGAATACAGAAATCTGGTTGATTGGAAAGCTAACTGAATTTCCAACTTGCTCAAACAGAATTACAAAAATTGTGTTTTTCACAGAGATACAGCCCACTGGAATCACCAACACTGGACAGCTAACAGTATTTACAGTCCTCAGATAATAAGGGATCCAGGCCTCCTTTACACAGTCTTCTGTTGTCCTTTCTTCCCGATCAGAGACTTGTGGATATGTGGGATGACACCACCACCAGCAATTGTAGCCTTGATGAGCGAGTCCAATTCTTCATCCCCACGAATGGCAAGCTGCAAGTGGCGAGGGGTAATGCGCTTTACCTTCAGGTCTTTGGAGGCGTTTCCTGCCAGTTCCAGCACCTCTGCCGTGAGGTACTCCAGGATGGCCGCGCTGTACACGGCGGCTGTGGCACCCACGCGCCCGTGGCTGGTCATCCTGGACTTCAGGTGCCGGTGGATGCGGCCCACGGGGAACTGCAGGCCTGCCCTCTGTGAGCGGGAAACCCCCTTTGTCTTGGCCTTGCCCGAGTCCTTCCCGGCCTTCCCCCCAGCCATTCCCAATTCCGCTGAGGAGCAGGTACACAGGCAGTGAAAATGGACCTGCCCACAAGCAGCGAGGCTTACCCCTACTTCTCTGCCTCACTGTGATTTAAACTGCCTGATGGGTTCTGTTCTTAATAACAGAGACTATATACACTTCTCTTCTAGGTACCTTATGATGTCTAAATGTAAGTGATTTTATTTTATTTTTTTTGTTTTTTTTCCAGTACCAGGAATCGAACTCACGACCTTGTGCTTGCCAGGCAGGTGCTGTGCCACTGAGCTAAATCCCTAACCCTACGTAAGTGATTTTAAATAGCTGACATCTAAAATATATTCTTTGTAACAGATTATCACTGCTATCTAAAGACAAAGCAAAGCAAGCAGCACACTGGAAAAGTGATGCTTTGTCCCTCTTTTGGCTATAGGCTTGCTTTAAGAAACAGCACTCCCTTTGAAATGAAAGAATTTATCGGCCTCCTATTTGACCGGTTCAGAGCTAGGATAGCTGGATAAATAAACACGGGGGACCGGCAGCTCCTTGGAGGTATGCTGGAGGAAGTCCACATTCACTCCACCAGGACTGGAAAGATCTGGCTCATCATCCTCTTCGTATTTTGAATGCCTGTCCTGGGTGTAGCAGCTGAAGATATCTACGATGATAAGCAGTCTGGCTTCATCTGTAACACAAAACAACCGGGTTGCAGAAACGTGTGCTATGAACAGGCCGTTCCTATCTCTGGGTTCAGCAGGCTGTATTTATGTCTTCAGCATCTCTAGTCTACCTGAGCCATCCTTTATACCAATAATGAGTTCTAGAGAAAGAGGGGCAGAGGATGAAAATTCAATTAAGAGAACTGGATGGGTAGAGTCTGAAATGCCTGTGGATCAAAGGAGACTGGACAGAGCTTTGTCAGTTGGAAGAAAGGAAACTAGATAAAGCTCCATGCAGAGGAACCTTGCCTCGCACTTACGTGTTACACATTTTCACTTGCTCTGTGGCCAAGCTGGGCTCATGACTGGACAATGAGAACCTCTATTTAAATGTCATGGCCACCCATATCCAAATATAATTGATTTTTTTGTCTCAAGACCAACAGAAAAGATAATATTTCTATTATTTATGCAATCCACAGCCATTGTTTCACTTTTCTTAAACATGCTAGAAATTTTCCACTTAGGTTTTAAAAAAATTAAGAGGGCCTTGGGGGTCAGTATAAAGTGAAGGATGAATATAATGGATTCCATGCAAGTGATATATATATTTTTCCCAGTGCTGGGAATCAAACTCAGGACCTTGCACTTGACAGGCAGGCACTTGTGCCATTGATCTATAATCCCCGACCCTTTTGAGTTCTATGTAAGTAAAACAAAAAAACCTAGCCAAGTATCAGTGCATATCTGCAAATTCACTGAAGCAACAAAGACACTCTCTTCTGCATCTGATTATTATCTGTTAGTGGAAAAGCACACACACATAACAGCATCTTTTGCATTTCAGCCAGGGGCTGACAATCACAGTGTAAATGAGAAATGCATTTTGGGTGAACAGGAAACTAATGAGATATTCACAATGAGTATTAACTGTAGTCACCTTCATCACATCCACTCAAATAATAACAAAGACATAACATATTTCGTAGCCACTTAAAGGAGAAGAGAGAAACTGATGTCGAAGATAGCAAAAAGAGCCACTGTTCTAGAGGCCACAGTTCTATTCTCAGTACTGCTATAGAAACAGAGAACTACATGGGACAGTCACCTCACAAAGCTTTCTCCCTGCCAGCTACCTGTATCTGGAAATCTTGGTGGCTTAGTGCTATCTGGGGTCCACCTAGAGAAGATGAAAACCAACGGCCAGAGAGAGAGCTCAGCGGCACAGCGCCTGCCTGGCAAGCACAAGGTCCTGAGTTCGATTCCTAGTACCAAAAAAAAACCCCAAACCCACCAATAAGATGAAAAGCAGGGCCATCTCCTAACTCTAACCTCAAGGACCAGTGCACAAGAGGGTAAAATCAGAACCCCTCTTCCTTCATAGGGAGACTCCCAACCTCTTGATATTAAACACTCCTGATTCTTTGGCAGAATTGTCCTTTGAGAATTGTCTTTGCCAGAACTGTCAGAAATTTGTCCTACTAAGAAGTCTTTCTTGGCTGTACTACTCACTGGCCATACAGCCTCATCACATTATTTTGAGACAGGGTCTCCCTATGAGCTTCAGGCGGGCCTTGAACTCACCGTGATCCTCCTGTCTGAGCCTTCCAGGTGGGGGACTACCGGCATGTGCCACTTGCCCAGTTTGGACCTAATATTCAGTTTTCAGTTTTCTAGCCTTACTGTAAAGCTCCTTTACGGTCTTTGGGAAAACAGGCTAAAGGAAACAACATGGGTGGCAATGCAGCTCAGTGCGACAGTTTGTGCACAGGCCCTGGTTTGGACCCAAAGACTAGGGGACAAAAAAAAAAAAAGATAAGTGTAAAAATACGTGATTTGAGCCAGGCCGGGCGTGGTGGTGCACACCTGTAATCTCAGCACTTGGGAGGCTGAGGCAGGAGGACCGTTGCCAGTTCGCGACCAGCCTGGGCTGCAAAGTGAGGTCAAGGCCAGCCTGAACTGCATAGTGAGACCCTGTCTCGAAAGGACAAAA